CGTGGAAACAGTATGTCAAACGCTGTTCTTGAATGGTGTTTCCGGGAAATATTTACACAGCTGTATGGGGCATACATGCCTCATCGTTTCGAGAACTCTCTGCATACTGCAAGTGGTTTTGCTGCTTTCAGAAGTCATGAGACTTCTCGCAGATGGCATTTCTTTCATTCTATTGTTGGTTTGGGCCTGATTCAGTTCTCTTATGATAGCATATTGTTCGCAGTCCCTTTCAACTTTTATAAGTTTCTTCAAAAACATTTCGTGCGGAGGAGTGATTCATTTTTTCCTATCCGTTCATTGCTGACGTCGTTAAAGGTCTCATTCGTGCGCGGCATCACATCTAGACTTCCTCCCTTTCTGAGTCGGTTGCACAATAAGTTTTGGCGCTTGGCAAATGCTGGACCCCCTCTTTAAGTTGTGTTAGGGTTGGGAACGGTGAGGTGAAAGACCTGTTTTCAGCTCGTTCGTTCGCAACCCTCACACAAGGAGAGGTTACAGTTTCTTGCCCCAAGGAATCGAAAGCGCTCGAACTAGGTTTTCTCGACGAGAGACGGCTCAAGGGCATTGAAACTGAAGCTGCGATGGAAATGAGGATTTTTCCTTTGGCCTTAAAGCGAAGGAGGTCTATGATGGGCAAACCAATTTCTTCTTGCAAAAAGGGGTCTTCATCATGGTTATCCCAGCCTTGCAGAGGGAGTCCTTCAAGTGCCTCGGCCTTTCAGTTGAACTGCCTCTGGAATTCACCCGAATACTCAATGCGATTTAGTGAAGCACTAATGTGTACGGGGGAGGACATCAGCACTTTGCAGCACCTAAGAGTTCCCAAAACAAGAGTTATAGTGCGTTCTTTGCGGCAGCTTCTGAGCGTCTATAAGCGTTTTGAGCACTCTTGGCGACCAAGGAAGAATAAGAATCGATTATCGCCGAAAACGCTGGCGGAAGCTCAAAACGGTGTCGCAGAGTATGAACACACTCTTAGGCTTATTGGCGTCTGTATCCTCTTGGGCTTAGTGGCGACTCTCGCGAGACTGTTCTTGGGGATTATAGTCGTTTGCACTCTAGGCCGAAGCAATATCTAGGAAAAAGAACGGAGAGGTATTACCCGGCTCCTCCCACCCCAAGCACGCTAGCGCTTTGAATATGTCGTTCCTTCGGATTTCTTAGAAGCCCATGGTGGACGCCATAAGACACGTAGGACCAACCTCCTAGAACTCGTCAACTGAATGGGCTTTTGACACCGCTGTGGATGAAGCACGCTGAAAACAATGCAGCCATAAGGATAGCTGATGCAGTAACTACAAAGAGAAAAAAGCGCCCGAAAGCTGGTAGGATGATGGGAGCAACACTTTCTAGAATAGAAACGGCTCCAAAAGAACGACAGTGGTCCGCCCCAGTCTGGAGCGACTCACCGATTTGCTAATGATGGACAGTTACGCAATGTTTGAATAGTAAGTCATCACGAAATGAATCACGAAACTTATCGAACACCAGTTGCGCTGGCCATCACAACAGTCAAATGACTTGACCGAAGTTCGACCGCGCTGCGACGTGTCGCGTCGCGGTCGCCAACGTCTCGTTTGAATTCGGTCAGATTAACTGTTTACAAAAATCACTCGTGGTTTTCTTCAAAATCCGTTCCAAATTGGGCGCTTTAGATATACTAAGACATGGTTCAAACCTTCAACACTACCCAAGCCATATTTTTTATGATGTGGCACTAAATTTCGTTCAGTGCAGAAAACAAACCGAGAAAATTAGGCAGAAACGAAGCCTGACGCTTAAAAATGCCGTTGTGCAAAGTTGCGTACCGTTATCCGGCGTACTATTGCACGGCTAATGCCGTTTGGACTCCAAGAATTTCGGCACCCAGCCCATTTGTAAATTGCCTAAGTCACCAAATCCGCCAAAAACTTGTATATAGGGGTAGTTTAACATCCTGATTGAATATGACATTCACTTTTGTCGCTGGCGTCAAGAGAGGACACTACGATTACCTCCTGGGCTCAGCCTTAGCAGAGCGCAGATAATCGTAGTGTCATCCATTAGCGCCAGCGACAAGAGTGAATGTCATATTCGTAATCAGGATGTTAAACTACCCCTATATACAAGTTTTTAGCGGATTTGGTGACTTAGGCAATTTAAAAATGAGCTCGGTGCCGAAATTCTGGAGTCCAAACGGCATTAGCCTATTGCACTGAATGCCCCTGTATGTTTCCGCCGATAACTTCGCACAGAGCGGGTCGTTTGAGTGCAGGCAGCAAAATCACCAGTAATATTTTGCTTTATTACAATAGCTCAGGAAAGACTAAACTTCAAACTGGGTCTAGGGAGAAAGGAGGTCAGTTTGAGTGAAGTGGTCCGCCTATCTCGTGCGTTCTTAAACTCTGGCCCGCTAGTCATTTGAAAAACCAAGAGATGACGAAATTCGCAGTTTTCAAAACTGCGTGTGTTCGTGCGTTGTTCTTGTTCAAAATTGTGATTAACTTGACCCAACCAGATGACCAGCATCTTACGCTAGCCCGTTTCTATAGTTCTTTGAGTGAAATACATGTTTTCGGATTTTTTAACCGTAAATATCCCACTCTGAAGTTCGGTAACGCGACTATATCTGTTCTGCGAGATTACGCCGCGCATACCTAGAAATCTTATTTTCAGATCAGTTTTGTGCAGGTAGTGTGACAGAAGGGAACAGAATTTCAAGAAATAACGAATGTCCAAGAAGGCAAAGCGGCATAAGCACCAAGCAGAGCCGGTAAATTTTTATTACAAGTAGTGACTGCTTCTGTGACAGATAGGCCGAAGAGTGCGTTCATACTTCACGGCCGCGTTTCGAGCGTACGCTAGCTTTCGAGCAGTAGGAAAGTAAAGCTATCGATTTAGCATACGCCAGCGTTTTGAGTGTATGCCAGCGAAAGCAGCGTTTCGCGATTAGGAAAGCATAGATATCGACCTAGCGTTTTGAGCGTTTTCGCGGGCAATTTGCACTTTTGGCGGACATACGCGGAAAGCGCTGGCATATCTCCGCTCACACGGCGCTGGCTCAAAATATAAGGGCAGCTTCAGCGTTTTGGGTGTTAATCGATAACCACACATTCTTAGCAGCTTGGAACGCTGGAGGACGCTCGGAATGCGGCGCCAAAACGCTAGAGTCGGTATAGCTCATCACGCCTCAGTAGCTGAAACGCTGGTGAGCGCTCAATTATGGAACGCTTGAATCCTGAATGGCAAATAATGAAAACGCATTCTAATAAGCGCATTCATTGTCCAGCGTCGAGTTGAAGGATCGGAGCAACGGAGAATTGGAGAATCCGCAAAAAAAAACTAGGTACGACCCGATTTTGCTAAATCTTCATGTGGGCAAAGTCCACGGGATCGACCCATATCATCGGAACTGCTAGGGTTGGCTGAGCGCTTAGTAAGGATAGTGTTCATTTCCTAACCTCGAAACGCGTTTAGGCCTCTGAAGAAGACGACCAAGTCGAAACGTTAGGCCGTCCAATAAGAAATTTCCACCTAAAAACCTCGAGGGGCACAGCAGTATAAGCACAGTGAACAGGTCATATCATACTTTTCGCTGATTCGTCGATTACCATACTCTCTAGATCGATACGCATACATTGCACAGTTCGGCGGCGGGAGAAGAGGGGTTATTGCACTTTCGTCTTTCATAGTTTCACTGGTTCCGATTCACAGGTCTCGCTCTGGTGAAACTTGTGAGCTCTGTGAAACTTTAGTAAGCTCGTAGAGCCACCAATTTGAAACCTGTCAACTCTTCTAAGCTCATAAAAAAGCTCTCTAGATGGGTCGACACATTGATGGGGAGGAGGTAGCAAATGTGCAGAATGCCCCACTCCGTCGCCGTTTTGCCCCCGTATACATCCTTTTTTTGCAGATTCTTTGATTTCCCATGGTCATGTATAGAAATAACACGTAAGGCTCATGATGATCTGTGCTGAGGTTCAGATAGAGTTCACGAAGGAAAAAAGAGCGTATGCATCCATAAATTCGAGTTTAATCTTTAGGCGTTTCTCCCTCGTAACATATTGTTCAATTTTGGAGAACAACCCTGTTTTCAGGTTTCGAGCGAAGTGCTTACCGTTACTGGTGATGCGGTCGTTACAAGAGATATATTCTATGTTATTGAAGATGAGCTGCGTATGTGGTTGAATTGGCAAACTGGTGAAAGTAAGTCGAATTCCACTTGTTTGAATGGAATTTGAGAAATCATGCTCTAGTAATCCTGTGTAATGCTTGCTCAGAACCTGCTGGGGCACTGAAAAGCAAGGAAGAGAGCTCAGGCGTCGGAACTGTAGAACGGCTCTTTGCTTTGGGAAGCAGTGGCAGAGTAACGGTGAAGGCGATGGTTCTGTTTTCTGGCTAGCTGGCCAAGACGAGGCTTAAACGGGCATAAGTAACATTTGACGAACCAAGTAGCGCGGTGGCACGGCGGAACGACGCGCGCGCGAGCCCGCCATGCGAACACTACGTGTCGCTGTTTGACAAACGGCTGTTTGAATTCTTCGCCCGAACCTGCAGACTCTGAAGGGGTATTTCGAGCAGAATATAATAAAAAAACAAAAGAAACGTTTAATGATGGCCCTCATTAATAGCAGAAGAGCTTGTTATCCCCGCGCCGCGCATTCGAGTCTTATGACTACTACAATATCAACTGCCTCGCTGATTGAGTGTAGTGATCCCTTTTCTCGCTATCACTTCCCCTATACCAACCTCAAGGCATCTTGCGGAGGGAGAGACATCCCAGTTTTTGAGCCTCCACACTTATTCGTTCAATAATTTTCGTGAAGATGTTTTCAGATGTGGAAGCTATAATAAGATTAATAAAGTCTTTTTGCGACCTGCTCAATCACCGATGGAATACATCTATGAGGAAGGTAAATATTGCATTTCCATAAAAATTTACGATATTTTTCTGTAATATCTCATTTCGTCTTTATTACAGACCATGTCATGGCGTTACTTTCGATGCTTGGTGAAGCATGGGATTCCATTTCACTGCATTTGGCTGCGTAAATACAGGACAATCCAATTTTTCAGCAATGAGGAGTTTATCGAGAAGTACCCACCTACTAGGAACCTCAGTCTTTTGTAAGTGGATCCAACATAAGTTCCTACATAAGTTCCTCCTAATAGTTCGACATAGTCCTTTCTAGTTTCCGAGACTTGTCTGATCTTGAATATAAAATGCGCTCTAGTATTTGGGCTTTCCACAATATTTCTATAGGATCTACCACAACTGGAAAGAAGGCACTTCTGTAAGTTCATTGCAAACGTCATTCTATTCAAAGTATATCATTCTATTGAAAAAAAAGTGTAAAAAGTGGAAAAAATCCAGAGTGCAATTCCCAAAATGCATCAGGCATAGGACGACCCTCTCCTTCCTTCCTCTTCGTCGAGAAATCTTCGGCGATTGTGCGCCCTGATTCACATTATCCGCTTGTCGTTTGCTGTTCATCTGCGCCCTCTCCCCTTCAGTCATAAAGTTCTCCTAGGACCTTTGAAGTAATGAGATCCAAGGGAGGTTAATGAAGTGAATGCAGATCCTTCTCATCTTCTTGACGTGCCCTGGCAAGGGTACTGTCGAGATATTCCCTGTATACGGCACTTACTCCTAGAGAAATTTCAGTTACTTTACTTCAGGTTTTTCATTTTAGTGCTATTTGGGAGAATACAAATATAACAAGCTTGAGATACCAGCTGTGTCTTGCCAGCAGACATCTTAACTATAAAGCAGTCGTCTCCAGTCTTGGTGAGTTGAGAGTTTTCATACATTCCACCAATATTTGGCGATTTGGACGTTCCGATCAGGATCAGGCCAGCGATCTGGTCGCTCTGAGGGCAGAATGATCGAGGAAATCGTTCGTGCGACAAGCGATGTCGCTGAATGTTAACGCCTTCTTATGGCCTATTGACGTGTGCAGTTCTGAACATTAGTTTCGCATCATTGCACAAAGCTAGCGAAGTTTTCATTAGCTAGTTGAACGTTGCCATGCTAGATGAGGGTGCTAATTTCGCATACGTGGAAAGTTTACAACGCCTTTTTTGCTGCCCTAACCGCGGCATGGATGTTTTAAGTTACACACGTTGTGACCATTTCACGAGATAGGTTATCTCTGTAGTTTTTTTCGTCTTAATCTAGATGGGTTTCTTTTTATTCAAACGGGATGTTTGAAGAGTGGTACTGGCAGCGCGGTAGTACTAGATGGATGTACGTGAACGTGATGCGATGGAATAAGACTGCGCTTGGACTGGTGTCTAGGCTCTAGGACTGAGAAGGCGTAAGAGAACGCCCTCTCAGGAAAGGGGGGGGGAGGACGAAGTTGAGCTGACTTAGTCGCACCGCCGCTTGCTCCCCTTTCCAACTGAGTGTGGAGCTTCTATGAGACTGGTTACTTCCCAGTCGCGACATCCCAGTACGAGTTGCCTTGGAGGATAGATTCGACGCGCAGGGTAACGGCCATGTTAGGTAGTTTGGGTCCCGGGCAAATACTCCGTACGCCACCTCGCTAGCTGCGCCTACTTCGTCGTACTCGCTGCGACTGAGAAGTAACGCTCCCACTCCTTCCCAACGGTTTTGATCCCTGGATGTGTTCTTGTAGATTCTTCTTCTAGCCAACTCCGAAATCCTGCGGATGGCATCTGAAACCATTGAGAAGCGCGAAGATGATCATCCACAGCGAACATACAACATCCAGCGACTGATATACTTTGACAGCCCCATTGCAATATGGATGGCTTTACAAGCGACCCTTTCTATGAAACACGTAAGTGTGATGTTTTGTTTGTTTTCTGTGCAAAAGCCTCATATAAAGCTTTGAGGACTCATCCTTCAACATGGGTAATCGCTTAGTAATGCTTGCTGCCATGCAAAGCATGATTTACACAACGAACAGGTAAGTCCTTTTTGCCTCTCGGTGCGGTTTAGTGAGGGGCAATGCTGCTTATTATGTTTGTTGTCTGATATTCAATTAATTTCAGTGTCAAGAACAGAATACTGATGCAGTTGTGGGAGTTCCTTATTGCAACGATACTCTGTGGTAATCCGGACCAAGTTTCTGCTGTTGTGGCGCTGGGAAATTCTGTAGATCGCTACCATAAGAGCTACGAGGCTAGTTCTTACTTTTTATTACTGCTTGCCAGGTCTGTTGCTGTCGTGTTCGCTGCGGATGACGGGGCCGTATCAATGCGGCTGCGTTTGGCGCGCCGCCCACTCTTTTTCTGCCCGTTGCTGGAGCGGATAGGCGCCAAAAATCGATGGAAAGCGGCTGACATGAACGACATGGTACAGTCTTGTCTTGCCGAAAGAAGAGAGAACGAGTCGGCGCCGCACTAGACGCAGCCGCTCTTGCACACCCCATCATCTGCAACACACACGACTGCTCCTAAGTTCGC